GTCTACACACGAAGGGCAAAAGAACTATGGTAAGCAGTCCTGAGCCTAAGGTCCAGAAAGACTGAGAATAAACTGTGGAAACATGAATTCCTGACTGGAATTTAGAATGTTTTCCATCTGGTATCTCTGATGACCTCCGAATGTGTTTAGTTGTGGGTCAAAGTTCAAAGTGAATAATAGACCAGATCAGAAGTGTTTCTGTGTATCAGAACAATGAGTTAATAGATTCTCAATGCAGAAACTGGACATGGTACTGCAGCAGTGGATGCATCAGATCATTTAATATCAATCTCAGCTTCAAAACTAACAATGGGATTGAATTGGATTTATCTACAACCTAAATTATCTATGATTGATTTTGTCATGTTGGCTTTAGTTTCCTTCTGGAATGGTTGCACACCAACTTCTCTTGGACCCTATAACCACTGTTTATTTCAGCAGTTCAAGTGTAACTTTCTTGCATTTTTCGCGTAAAGGGCCATCTAGGGGCATCAAGGCCTGAGCCATGACAAAATATTGCGTTCTCTTTCATGCTGCTTTGCTTCTCATTCATTGACTTGAACTCAAGATAGGTAAAGCTAAAAGCATGAATCATTATGGCTAATAATTTCAAATAAATTGTTCACCTAGCTCACCAGAACTTATACCAGGGGTAATAAGAACTTGGTTGGTCCAAAGGTTATATTTTTCTCTAAAAACCTTGCCAGCATATCCAACAGGATCAATCAAGTAAACAAGTGATGAGTTAATGTTCTTAAGAACCTTTAATTGCTGGTTCAAAGTTGAAACATGCAAGATTTATTGAAGGAAATGAAATTCCCTGTATGTGAAAAGAGAATATGAATGAAGATGAATACAATAAGATTTGTTTGATGTCAAAATTTTAGCAGTGGATAATTTGGTTTATCTACCCAATTGAGAAGGCTTAATTTTCTTGTCTTCTTATCTATTTTTCTACTAAGAAAGAGTCACACGGATGGATTAGTATCACTTGCCTTTTCTCATAAGAGAAAAGAAAAGGGCAGACGTTACATGAGTACATTTCATCAACATATACAATCAAAGCCAATAAATTTTCTCATTTAAA